GATTAGTGGAAAAAATATTTATTTTGCCTGTAACTAAGACAAACTGGAAGGGAAATCCTTATAAAATTCAAACTAAAGTATCCACATATCTTTTTGGATTTACAACTTAATTAAACACATCTTTGGTAGATGCTGAAGCATATGCAATGTGATCCTGTTAAGTCAACTGTCTGGCTGAGTTTTATCCAGTCATCTCTCCAGTTGACTACTAATATGAATTATATCTGTACAAATCAAATGAACCACACCAGCAGGAAGTCTGAACATAATTGCCTTCTTCGCATTGCCTGTAGGCTCTTCTGTCTGTACAATTCGATTAGTTTTCTCCATCTCCTTTTCCCCTCCCCTGCACCAGGATCTGCAGAGCACACTGCTGCCTGTACAGCTCTGTCAATGCATGCTTATGGTTTCTTAGCCTGGGCTTGAGTAAAAGAGAACTCCTGGCAAGACTTCTTGCAAATACACTGATATAAAATAGCTGTTAGATGACAACACACCAGCCTGACATGGAGCTTTTTATAAAATGCAGATTTATGCACTAGGGAAAAAAGTTGTCAGGTAGAGAAACAGATGTTCTCTATGCTTTGCAATAATCAATCTGGAAAAACTCAAGATAAACTGGTTACAAAAGTGGTTGGGTGTGCACTGTAAGTGGGGTAGTCACTTGCTCTTATTAACAAAATCTCAAGGATTGTTCTGACAGAGCAATTAAGGTTTTAATTCTGGGAATGGGAATACCAATTGTGATAATGCTTCCAGGGTCAAAGCAACCACAGGTATTTACAGGTTTGTTCATTTGGATCTCCCCAGAACTTTCATCTGAATGAAACAATTCCCCCTGCTTCACAATTAACCAGTCAAGAAATTGAAAAGATGCAAATTCAGTTACTTTAGCACAATCATACTACTATCACAGCAAAATCTGTATTGAGTCACTGGGCACCTTAAGGGAATCATTGTTGTCTGTTAGAGGTTTGAGGACTGGGCTGTTTGGATAGTAGCCTAGTAACTTGGAAGGTTCTGGTCTTTGTTAGGAAACTTAATAGGCATGTGAAAGACAGGCAGTTTCAACCTCAATTAAATGGTCAGAGACAGATAACAGTAAAAAAAATGCAAGGCATCCATCACGTATAACATTGTCTGAGGCACCCTGAAAAGGAAATAATATTTCATGCAGATTGGGCAACTTAATGGACTTTCTGAGATTTTCTTCTACAGTCTGATTCATACAACATCATATTACCCCTTTTAGCTTCAGAAACTGACTCAGTCTTACTAATTTTGGAGAAGGACTTCTATTTGAGAAACTAGTGATATAATCTACTTAACTGATACACATTTAATAAGTTTATTCCTTCAAAGGAGGAGCTAACTTAAAATACTGCTAAAGAAGAAATAACTTCAATTCATTTAATGAAGAATAACCACCACCATCAGATCTCTTATCTAACTAAAAATTTTGGGGTTGGGTTTTTTTTGGTTTTTGAGATTTTCTGTCCAGTGTAATAAATTTAGTGATTTTGCAATCACCTTATTAATCTGTCCTTACAGTAAAAAACAAAGAGGAAATCCAATGTATATAATGAAAACAGGGATGTATTTTCCCATAAAATCAAATTTTCAAATTTCAATACCAGTCTTTTGTTATGGCAGTGCCCATTAAAATATTTTTTTTAATTAAAGAAAAATAAACCCACTCTTCTATCTATCCCTATGCTAGGGTGAGAAACCTGAAGGTGAATTGTAGAATGAAAGAGTTAAAACTAACTGAATAGATCAGTAGAATTTATGACATGTTCATTTAAGATCTCTTTTATTATTTCATACCACAGTTTCTCACGCAGAAGCATGAAGCCATGAATAAGTAAGCAAGGTACACCATTTCAAAATCCATCAATATACTTAGAATTAGCGCTACTGCCTATTCTGGAACAAGTCAGTGCCTGTAACCTAGAGAAAACACCTACTATGCACTACTCCACATTGATAAGTGTGGCCTCTAAGGCATTAGCAGCTGACTCCCACAGCTACAGTGTGTCCTGGTTCAGCCAGGATAGAGTAAAGTTTTCCCCAGCAGAGAGAGAGGGGGAAGGGATCTCCAGCCGGGTTATTCATACCATGCTGACGTCAGGTCCAGGGGCGGAACCTTTTTCCTGGCTCTTTGGCGGGTTCAGGAGGGAATTTTGCTTTCCGTAGACCAGCTAGCGGTATTTCTCTGTATATTGTTTGTCTTGTTCACTGTTATTGCTGTTTATTGTTGTTACCATTGCTACTGTTGTTGTTCAGATTGTTCCATCACTCTGTTGTATTAAATTTCTTATTATTTCAGCCGGGGTCTGTGTTTAACTTCCAGCCCGACCGGTGCGGGTGGGGGAGGGGCAACGGCAACGTGCTCTCTCATCCCGGCAAGGATTAAAACTTGCACACAGTGAAGCATTCAATATGATGTAATCACCCTTGGTGTCCAACCAGCACTGCCATTTTTTCATGGATACTTCTTCTCAGCACCCTAGTGTTAGGCCATCTACTCTAGGTACCTGCTAGCCCTTCCCTCTGGTAGGATTATGAGACATCTGAGCAAAACCGACTGTTATCTCTTTTTCCGCCTGCAAATTGTGTGTAAGTAGAACTTTGGATTTAGAACTTGGACTGGTATTTCCAGACGGTTGTTTAGTTGAAAAGCCAGTTCAGACCAATCTGCCAAAGTCTGTAAATCCCTACCATTTCCACCATGCATGGGCAAAGCAACTTTGCTACTCATGTATGGCATACAGTTGTGGTTTGAGTCCAGAGGTCAAATGATCACAACACAGCCGTTCACTCACACCCCCAGCCCCACCCCACCCCAGTGCTGAGAACAAGAAAATGAAGAAAAAGGCTTGGGAATCAAGATAATGACAGAGAGGGGTGGCTCACCCATTATGGTTATGAGCAAAAGACAGACTTGTTAGGGGAGGAAACAAAAGAACATCACTTTAATTCAAACACTAACAACACCAACACTTTAACAGAATGAACAGTGAGAAGCATTACCACCTCCTAAAAACTCCTTCCCCCACCTCTCCCTTCTTCCCAGGCTCAGCTTTGCTCCCCATCTCTCTACCTCCTCCCTGCTGGCCATGCAGGGGGCAGAGGATTAGGGGTGCAGTCAGTTCATCACTTCTTCCACCTCAGGGTGGGGGGAAACTCCACACATTCTTCCACTGCTCCACGTGGCTCCCCTCTTGTAAGAGACAGTCCTCCATAAACTTTCTCTGGTGTGAATCCTCCCCACAGGATGCATTCTTCTCAAGATGCTTCAGCATCGGTCACCCCCACATGTTGCAGTCCTTCCACCACTGAACTATAATGGCAGGGGCTTCTTCTTCCCTCAGAGTCCCAGCCTCCTTTAAGTGCAGCCACCTGTTCCAGTGTGGGGCCCTCCACAGACTGCAGGTCACCATCTGCTCTACCACAGACCCCCATGCGTGGCAGGGGGCGGCCCTGCCATCTCACCACAGGATACAGGGGAGTCTCTGCTCTGGCACATCTCTCCCTCTTCCTCCTCCTTCCTTTCCACTGACCTTGGTGTTCACATATGTGTCGTATGTCTTACTCACAAGCCCCAACCCCCTCCCAGATTCCCCTTCTCAAACACATTATCCCAGAGGTGCAGCCACTGTTACTAATTGGCTCAGCCTTGGCCAGCAGTGGGTCCATCCTGGAGCCAGGGGAGCTTTGAGAAGCTTCTCACAGGGGCCACCGCTGTAGCCCCCTCCCTGCCACAACCAGCATCTACATGACATAACATGCTGTGCATGCAGAGGACATCAGTCAGGAGCGTGACCTGCAACTCTGGGACATCCCACACCATCAGGTGTGCCTGTTCCCCTGCCTTTCTCTGACTCATCCCATTGTTCCCTCCACACGAGATACAGACCTACCACATTTGCAAAAAGGAAAAAAGAAAACCCACATTGCTCCACTTGCACATTCTTGTCACCCATACTCTCTGTTTAGACAGCAAACCTTTCCCACGAAAAGACTGTCACCCGAGTGTTTTGTATTACGTGCAGGGATTTGTTATTCCCAGGCACTGCCATGCTGCAGTCCTCTTTGCAGCATTAGCTGTAGACAGCAATTTCTCGACCTAGGACACGATTCAGCCAATCTGAATTTTAAGGGAGGATACTGAAAACGAAACGCACAGCGGGAAGGCCACGAGTTTTCTTAGTTATATTTTGAGATAAGTATCTACAAACAGCAGCAGCAGTTTTTCTTCCGCCTGACGGGAAAGCGGGGCACCCACCCTGCTCTCCTGTGCCACCGAGTGGAGCCGCTCGCCCGAGCACTGCAAATGCTACTCATTTCTGCTACCGCAGAAAAACTCGGTCAGCGCCGGGCTGCAGGAGCACGGCATTTCACCCTTAAGGAGCAGATCACAGCAAGAGTACTCGGTGTCTCAGAGTAATTCCCGCAATTTTAAAATATGATTTGATTGATCCTTAAAGAAACGCTAAACCAGAGTTTGCCACGGTATGTCGAATGGAGAATTAAATTTCAAAGGCAGACCTTTGCGAGCAAAGGGCTGGACAGCGTCCAACGGGCATTAATGCGCCCTTCACACGCGTGGCAGGAATTGTTACTTCTGTTAATCCGCGCGTGTTACCGAGGCTGCAGACAGTGGATACCGTGCCGGGGACCACGAGGAAAGAACGCCCGGCGGCGACAGAGGCACGGGACTGGGGAGGAGGTGTCGGGCACCTTCAGCACAAGGAGCCGCCCCGGGAAAAGAGAGCGGGGACACGGCGCGCGGGGACACGGCACGGCGCGCGGGCTCCCGG